AATTTCGGCAGTGGAGAAAAGTTACAAAAAAAATTATCATACGAACAAGATTTCATATTTCACGATGATCGAATTTCCCATCGTTTCCACATTTAATACATCCGTTCTCTTCGAATTTGGGAATAGCCGGTACGGAGGGAGGGGGGTGAGAGAGAAGCGAATCGAAGAGATGACGTAACGGAGACATAGTACTGCCAGAAAGAGGAAAGCGCGATAGAAGGCATCGGAGCGCACCGGCGCCCTGCTTCGGCTCCGTCGAGGCGCCGGCGTCACTTCCGCCCTTACTCCCTATTCTCCCTGTTCCCTCCGCCGTCTCGTCGCGCAACTGTTCCCGCCGGTTCCGTGGTTCCTATCTCGATTCAGGCTGCCGCTTGGAATCGCAGAGCCTTGAAAAAGGAGCAAAAGGAAATGTACACTGACTGCCGGCGTTGGTAGGCGTTGCCCTCACCCGAGTGCACTCGCCAGAATCCCGCGACTACGACCACTCCAGCCACCAATAAATAAATATGAGATGCATCGGCTAAACAGTTCCCGGGTTGTTGATCCTGCGAGACTTGTATAAATCAGCTTTATACTCTAGCATCCACGTCGTATGACCCGGGCACGCTCGTACGTGTATATAAAACTTTCGTATCGGCGCGATACGCATTTCTGCGCTCTTTGTGATTCCACGTATATACATTTCGTCAGTATCACATATCCAAGCTGCAAGTACAACTCGCTTGGTAATTGAATTGAAATATTGAGAAAGAGAGAGAGAGAGAGAGAGAGAAAACATGGCACGCTTCCAATTATCTCGCATCAGAACGGTGACATTAACACGTTCTTTTATATACATATATATGTCGACGATTGCCTTCATTTTCGCTAAACTTTTTCGCGCGATTTAAAATCTACCGTATTCCCCGGAACTCATTATTTGATGGCACTTCGTGCACGTGACGCGCACCATAATCTTCCCCATCCCCGTTTAAGCCATCGCCCACGCGCCATCTTTCCCCGAAAAAATAATAAGCGAGAGGGTTGGTCCTGTGATACACGACGTAGGAGACGGGAGACCAGGGCTGACAGGGATTCATAATTTCATGCGGGCTTATTGCAGTCAGTTATTTATCCTCTCTACTCATCGTGCATGCAGCTCTTGCCTAAGACTCGCGGTTCCGTTCCGCTTGCGGTTTTCGCCTTCTCTTCTCTTCTCTCCTCTCCTCTCTTGTTCCTTCCATCTTGTACCGTCATCACCATATCGCAGTTTCTTTAGGATGAGTCACGCTACGTCCAAAGCAACGTCGCGATTTAATTTGGTACGGATCGCGTCGGTCGCTCGTACGATTATCTGCACCACTACAAATCAATTATTCGATTTTGGTCATAGTGAGCACGTTTGAAACCGATAATTTATGAATAACTTGAAACGATAAGTCAAGGACTTATTTTCGTGGTTGTTGCATCATTAATAAAGATAATAAAAGAGAGCACTTCTACGTAATCCTCGTTTTCGACGTTCGTGGTTACAAAATTGTATCGGTTTAACTTTCCGACAAGACAAGTGTTGATTTACGATTCTCGCAGGTTATATATTTCACAGTTATCTGATTTAAAACTTTATATTAAACTTTCTCTGAAGGTTAAATCCCAACGGGATTAACAAGGACCGCTGGCATGGCGTCGAGTTTTTGGTTTCTCGGCCGGCATTCATATATTTTGATGGAAAATAGTCGCGTTGTTCCACACGAGTTAGGAAAAAGGATATTTGTGCAGACAGAGCAGAACTGTGAATATTTCCGGGCAGATTTTCCGGCCGGTATCCGGGCGGCGTTACGAATATTCGGCCAGTTCGGTGGCCAAATAGTCCCTCACTCGCCGCCTGCTCGCTTGAACACGGAGGATAATCCTCGTGGATTATTGCGCTATCACGTGGGTCCATACGTGCTCACGAGTAGGATGCCCTAGGACGTCGTATTTGTATGCCGTGGAATACACCTACGTGTTTGTATCGCACAGGTTCTCCATGGAAACCCTTGCTAGGGGCCGGGCCTGCTGCGATACCCTAATTCCTAAATCTGTCGCCATAAGTCCTCGTTACAATAAATAACCCGACCGGTGTGTCTGAGCTTGCGTCTCTTGCTTTCCCCTCTACCTTCTCCTACTCCTTCTGGACCATCTCCTGCTGCTTTCTCTGAACTAGCTTTAAACAAGCCTACTTGCCGCGCACATATGGTTCAATTATTTTATAAAAATATTCTCCAGCTACGTACAAAATTATTTACTAATTTACTAACCAAATCGTTTCGTAGATTATAATCTTTTCATGTTATTAATATTAGTTTATAATATTAATGTAAAAATAAATTCTCGCACTGCATTAGATATGCAATAGATTAATAGCGAGATAATACACAAGCAAAACTTCAAAGTAATAACTCTTGTTTTCTATTGTTAAAAATTTCTCCTTTAATATTGTAATAATTTAACTATTATCTGAGACATTACATTTTATACCATCGGTATCTTCTCGATATTCAGCTACCGTCTTATGCTTGTTCAACACATTGTCGCTCTGATTTACATTTCTTCTATCATGTCGCACTTATTGCATCTTATACTAAAAGCGGGTACACAAAAAGGTATGCTGGGGCGTGAAATAATACGATCGATAAATCCTAATAAATGTCTACCTGCCCTGTACAGACATATATAAATAAAACGACGGTGTTCTCTCTTTCTCTTTTTCGCGCGCGAAGAGCGTGATCAGGCGCATTCTGTCCATGTGTACGTGGTCACGTGCGTTGACACGCATGCGCTACATCCAACCATGCTATACAGCTTCATCATGGGCGCCACAATATACGATATATAGTAGCATGTACTGATTATAGTAACCCGACTTAAAATCTTTCATAAAAAAATCTTTGGTGCAAGATAAAAATAAAAATTTACAAAAGAATTATTGGGTAGTAATTATGTTATAATTATTATCAGAGCAATCTTAAATTATTATAATATAATAATTATATGTATATATATTTATAAGAAGCTAGCGTTCTCTATTGGAAAATAAAAATGTATTATATAATTTTAACAATTAAATACATAACACATAAATATTACTTTCAATTTGAGCGAATGGATCTAATATAAATTAGGTCATACTAATCAAAAAATTTAGAAGTAAATAAGTCATCATAAAAAACTTTAAAAATATCTTAATTATCTTGCTCATGTTGCAATTAATTTATCTCGCTATTGTACGTTACATTAATGGTTAAATTCAAATATTTACGTAAAAAACAAGCGCTATAAAAAAGCTCCTCTTGTGCAACTTTGTCATGAAATCGCCATAAGAGGTAACAGTAACATGAGCTCGGTTATAGTTGCTGCAATGTGAAGATGCGTCCAGAATAGGAAAGAAAGGAAAGAGAAGGAGACAAAGAAGAGTTAAAGTTAAAATCACGTGAGAGAGAGATGCATTTCGAGAGTGTATGAGAACGAGTCGTTAAGGGGCGGGAAAGATGGCGTAAGGGGGTACGAGGGGGTATGAGGGGGTCGTGAGAGGTGGCGGCGGCAGGGGGAGGTGGTACAACGGAGGATGAAGGTGGTGGGGGTGTGCATTGCGGATTTATTCCCGCCAACACATTCATCATGGCGGATTTAGCTGAACCCGTAACGCATTGCCGTGGATATATATCTGCTTCCATCCCTACCCTAACTTTCTCCCTCCTCCATCCTTTACCCCTCCACCACCTCATCACAATTCCGACCGAATCCTCGCCGGTATATCCTGTATTCTGACAAAACCTCTCTTTTTCAATGACTCCCTAACTCTTTCCGCAATACGTGAAGCGAAAGGATACTGGATCGTTTACGATGCTCCGAGTATTACGTTTCGCAATGGTATATTTTATCATCGCGATGTAATAACATAAATATAACTACCGATTTAATGAATAGCTTAATCTCCATCTAAACATCGTGAAATTCGAAGAAAATCTTATAAAAGTTCGTTCATAATTTATATCTCGCAATGATAAATTTAGATGGGAAATTATGCTAAAATGAGCTACATGTATGCGCAGTTTTTTTTTCCTTCCTGTTGACCATTCGCGGCAGAAACAGACCGTAAATAGCTCTTTAATAAATCTTTGGTGTGCTATCAGCAGCTGATCGCAATGCATCATGGCGCAGCGTTGACAGACCCCTCTAACTACTCTTCACCCTTCGTCCTCTGCTATCCCCTCTCTTCTGCTCCGCGTAGATACGATATTACGGGGATTGGTATAAATCTATGGCTCATCCATCTACATTTTATCCCCGGAGAACCAAGACACTCACGCAGAAACGCCCGTACAAGCGCACACATGAGCCGAAACGTGCACAAACACCGTCAAAATCTTCCTTCTTCTCCACTCCTCTCATATCCTGAGGGTCCCTATTCGCCCTTCTCCCTCGAGACGGTTCAAATCCGATCTCCAGCTCAACTCCACCTCCCCCTGCCCGGCTCCCTCGTTCCACCTGCTCTATCGAGATTCCAATAGCGGCCTTATCGAAGGCTTTGTACGATGAGGGATCGCAAGCTACCCGGGCACTTTCTGCGGTCCTCATGATATTTCACATTTATTATCATATTTCAGTTATTCGCAATCCATTCTTTATCGAGTCAAGATGTTATTAACAAAAATGCAAAAAAAAATGTAGAAAATTCTATACGCTTCATAAAGGTGCGAATTTCGTTAGCAAAAATTAAATGTGTTATAAACAATAAATCAGTGATCTAAATATATCATTGATTTGTAATAATTTATTGATTTTTATAAATAATATTATTTTTCATAGACACATTTCATCTTAATTATTTTCTTTTCGTATATGACTATACTAATGCATGTTCGAAGAAGAAAAATATACTTACTGTTTTTAACAGTATATAAATATATTAATATTACAATCTATAACGAGCATTAATTAATTAAATTAAATATTTTATTCAACTCCAGAAGCACTCTCTCTGGTACTGCCAACGGGTGATGATTCATAAATGATGAGAGTCCAGAATTCCTTGGCGCCATTCTGTAAATACGGAGGGCAGCGCGTTAGCTCAAAAAGACTTTCCCTGCATCGTTTGCACACACTGCAAGTTCGTCTCTCTATTTACTCATCGCATTGAATCGCAAATCAATACTACTCTACATTGGATGTTCAACAGAAACGTACTATTACTTAGATAGAGAACACCACCCTATAAGAACGAAAGAAGATATGGGCACACAAACTTCAACTCCTAAAGAGCTGACGGTTGCAAAAGTTAAAAACTAAACGCACGCATAGTGCATAGAAATGAAATCACGATGCAATCACTAAGACTTGACCGCATGCTCGATTAATACTGAGGTAATATCCTCGAAAAATCGACAGTTAAAAAAAGGTAGGAATGTTTTGAGATAGGAAAAACTTGCTTCGGCTTATTCTCCCTCCCTGTTGGTTTAACAAAATGCGATCGACGGCGGTACAACAGCTGCTCCGATGCGGCCCTTCCGGTGAGAACGGGGAGAAACTGAATGATTCTCCCTTCTCACCCTAGCGCCTGTCTTTTTCCCTATGCCAAATATGGCGGTTGTCTCTCGCGGAGATGGCTTTTGAATTTCGATTTAATTCACGTCGCAAACTGCGGCGCGACTTTGAAAGATTTATTACGGAACTTTTTAATTCTATATATTTTATGTAAAATATCGTTGCTACTAATCATTCTTAACTACATTCTTATTTTATGTTCGCGAAACGTTCTACCGACGATTTATGCCGTGACAAAAAGATTGCCGTTTCTTACTGCACAAATAAGTTATTCGCCGACGCAAAGGACTTCTTACAAAGTCGAGTCACTTCGTTGCGCGGAAACGTGGCACCGGTACACCTCCAAACAGTACGACGCAGTTTCTTAACTTCTGCTTTCGTCATCAAACTTTCATGAGGTGCCGAACGATACGTCGAGCAGGAAAAACTTGCCACGAAATTACCAAGGGGCCCCGTGTCAGAGCTCGCTCCGCTCTATGCCACAGCGTGGAGAAGAGGGTGGAAGTGGGGACGGGATGGATACTAAGCAAGAGACGGCAACGAAAGATAAAGAAAGAAGAGGTGTATCCCGACCCAAATTCAAGGGACGAGAAAACTTGGCTCGTCAATCAGCGGCCGGAACGAAGAAAGTTCCGGTGCGAGGACAAACGCTTGTCCTCTCTCGCTGTATATCTTTGATACCTTGTCCACGAGTGTACACGAGATGTTCGAAGCTTCGTTCTCTCTATTTGCGATAGTTTCAGACGCAGTATACAATCTCGTACATCTCTCATTACATTGCGCGCGACGAGAAAACGCTGAATCGTATCAGTCGAAAGGCTGGGGAGATTAACGGCGGAACTTTGGTGGCTAAAACAGTGATTAAGTGCCGCTAACCAAAATTCAATCCGGTATTAAATTCTCAATAAATTCGAGAAATACGGTCTGGTGAGACTGCAAATAATGAGTTTAAAGTATGGTGACATTCATTTATGTAGATAGAAAAAATGAATATGTTAAATTAAAAAAATAGTTTAAACGTAGAAAAATTATATAGAGAAACATAAAAAAAGATAAAACATGCACTGTGCTTTTGTTTGTTTTATACTTAATTAATTTATTGCTCCGTGAGAGATATCAATGGCACTGAATACATACATAAGAAAAAAATTACTATCATATGTACGTGTATATAAACAACACTGTCCCGTTAGCAGAGATAATTGCCATGAAAATATGGATGTAAACAGAATATTTGTGCATCGGATGAAAATTAATAAAAATATCTTTCTATGAATGCTACGAATGTTGTACGGGACATTGTTAGCCGATGGATGAATACACCGCCATCTTCAAGGGTTCTACCGCCGGAATACACCAAGATTCGGTTAAATCATTTTTCATGACGGACGAGCGACTTCCCCGAAGAGGCCGTAGCTCGCGTATAGCCGCGACGGCGACGGTCGTCGCCCGTATCTCACCATGGCCATCAGTATTTTCCAACTTGTCTCACGGATTCCCCTCCCGCATGCCCCCCCCCCCCTCACTGACGTAAGTAACAACATATATAAAAGTAAGTGACTCGACTCTCTCGCGGGGCGGTGATACAGGGTCCTCCTATCTGCGAAGTCTATCGGGCAGTAAACAGCGTGCGGCAGATAAGGCGGGAGATATATTATAGACTCCGTCCCGTCGCGTACGAACGTATACAGAACGAGGCCGTGATAGCTGGCTGGCTCTAGCCAAGCCCAAAGCCCTACGCTAGAGCGCGGGAGGCGCGCTCTATATATTTCGTTCTTTTTTCGCCCGAGCTTCGTTCTGGTAAAAACGCCGCCGGCGTCTGAATACTCGCGCGCGGAGGACGGAAGTCGGTTTGCAAGCCAAGCATGGGGCGGCGGCGCCGAGCAACCCCTTATTTTACTCCTTCCTAGTCGGTGGCCCAAGTAGCTGCCTACCTCTTCCCTCACCCCTCAGGATCGACTCGACTATCCCCGCGCTCGTCGCCCCGCACCCGGACCCGGTTCACCGTCCTCTACTTTAACTTCTTTCACTTCTCGATCTTTTTCTTCTCTGGCCAATGCTCGAATGCTCGATGCTGCGATACATCACGTGCACGCTGTTGCCAGTTGACTTTCTATCTCTCCCATCCCATTTTCCTTCAGCAGACACGGAAATCTAACTCCAAACTCACCAAACGAACATTTCTCCTTTCTCTTTTGGCAAACTGCCATCTATTCACAGATTGAAACTTCTTACTGTTAGGCTTCTACGATAAGAATTGAAAAAATTACGATCTCTGCAACTATCAATGTGATTTATTTCCCGGATGAATAAAATTCGTTATACCGTGTACATCTCGTGCGAAACTACCCCCTCCCCCCTCCGCTAAATATTGTTCCATGCGATTTCATTATAGTTTAGAGAATAGTCGCGCTTTTCGTCACAGTCGGCGCGCAGCAGTTGCATGAATAATTTTATACACGCGCGGAACGCGTTGGTAAGGGAGGAAAGGATTATGGTTTATTTCAACGTTATTTCAAAACGATGCCATGTCGGGGGCAAGTTATTATACCGCTGTCAGCCACCGCACTACCCTACCGTTGATCTGCATAACCATCATGGTCTCCCCTATAGGAACATTCTGGTAGAAGACCAGCCCTTTGCCGTGACTCCAGACCACTCAATAGAGACGCGGCTATCAGCCAACCGCAAAAGCGATTACAAATTAACGTGACGTTTCTTCGCGCTTTAATATGAACTCCCGCTATGCCTCCCATCCCTCTTACGCACAACCTTTCTTACTCCCCAGGGGGCGAATACAATTATCGTGCCTTTTGTTTCACAATTGCAGTTACTTCTCTGTTTCCTATACGGGAGGGTGAATGATGTACCATTTACTTTTATTTCTGCGCTCTTGCGTCGATTTTAAACTAGCATGACGATGCTTTATTTGACGTTTTGTATTAACCATTTTATAAGCCATTTTATAAGAGTTCTAATTCGTACAATTTTTCGAGAATTTACAATATATTTCTTTTTTAATAACAATAAAAGACAAACATTATCAAAATTGTTAACAAAAATTTTAATTTTTTTATATTAATATAAAAATGACGCTTTAAAACGCTTTAAAATAAATATTTCAAAGTAGCAAAAAATGAACATGTTTTCAATACCTATATGAGAATGTATGACACATATCATATTTAATAACGAAATAAATTATTATAATATATTGTGACAAATTCCTGAAAATTTTTTAAACAGTACATGCATTTTGAACAAGCTTATAGAAATAGCTAATCAACTGTATTGTTCAAGTTTAATTGTTCGAACAAAGCGATGTAGCAAACCTGTTCCCTTCTCTCTCGTGAAGGAAGAAAAAAAATATTTATGACGCGTAAAACAAGCCGACACAAAGTTATCTCCCACGTAGTGTTAGATTTACGAGATCCGTCCCCGATTTCAAAGCCATGTTAAAAATGGAACAACCTTGGCAGCATGGTCTATTCCCCTCTAATTTTAACGGTCAATGCAGTCCCGTTTTTGAGTAAAAAAAAAATTCTTAATGCGTGACGACCCAATCGCTGACATTGTCACGTTTCCGCAAACATTTTTGGTCGGCCTAAATCCCGTTAAGTCACAGTTATAATTCTAAGAAATAAAATGCGCATTTCTCTACAAACGTCAAGGCTCTTGTAGTGGAAAATCTTATGAGAAAACTGATAGTGTAACTAAAATCTTTTAATTCAAAGATCTTCTTCCGTTGTAAATAATCTCGAGGTTACAAGTCATACTTGATATATCGTACATATTTATGCAGTTTCCTTAATTTTACTTATTCAATGATAGCTATTATATATAAAAAAATGTTGGGATATTTACGTTCATAATGTTACACTAAAGAAAGTAATTTGCATTTAATTTTATTATACGATAAGTAAATGTAAAAACAGACACAAAAAATATTTTGATATAATAAAAATTTTTGGAACAAGTTGTATTAATATATAATACATTTAAAATTAAATTTAGAATAAATATAGATTATTTTGTTATAAAGAAACATGAACAAATAGAAATTTATAGCTTAATTTTTTATTATCAATATTGTTAATATTTAATTCGAAGTCACTTTTAGATATATTAATATTTTCGTTTCATATATTTATTAATATAACATATTAATTAATCTATTTTATGTACGTTTTTCTCATATATAATATATAATTTATTTTATATATTTATAGTATGTATACATTTTTTTAAAGAATGTTTAAGATTAAGAGTTTTATCTCTTGATTTAATTTTTTTCCACAGAGTCCGTTCCTCTAATTTCGTGCGTGAATCTAAAAACATCGAGACGTGTCGCTTCCAAGTATCACCCACCAAAATAAAATTGTCCCTCATATATTCACCACTGGGCGGTGTTTCCCATGTGAATACTGAAAGAAACTGACATCACCGAGGAAATGCTTTGATCCCATCATCTAGACACTTAATTAAGACGTCAAAGCTCC